CCGCCGCTGGCGACGCCGATGCGCCGCAGCCGCTCCGGACACCGGCCAGCGCGGCCGCTGCGAGTGCCGCCTCAAGCTCGCTGTTCCTAAGCCTCAGCGCTTCTATGTATTTGATAACCTCCTCTAGAAACGTCGCTGTGTTGGCGCGCTCCGAATGCGGAACGAGCCGCCGCAGCGACTCGAGCCGCTCGTTGATGCGGGTGCGGCGCCGCTGCTCCGCAGCCTGCGCGAGCGCACGTGCGGTGGCGTCCATGCGCCGCAAAGGCCGCGAATTGCGATTGGGGTCGACGGACGGGCGTCAAGGCAGGGACGGCATTGATATGTGAATGGCTGGGGGCGGCGGTTTGGGGATGGGGTAGAAGTGCGGAGTGCCCATGTGGCCCCATGCGATGAGGTCACGTGGTCCCAACTGTCAAGAGGCCCGGTCCCCCGTGGATGCTTTGACCCACACAATCCAAACGCGGGTCAAACCAGGTAAGCCTGTGGGATTCGATGCATGCACTTGCCTGGTGGCGGGACGCATACGCGGAGCTGCTCTTGCTGTCGCCGCTGCGCGCGCGCCCGCCGCCCCCGCCGCGCGGCGCGGCGCCCGCGGCGCCGCCCTGGGCGCCGCCTGGGTGCCCGTCCCAATCTTCATCGTGTGCGCCGTGGAAGCGTGCTGCAAGGGCTAGCAGGTCCATGGGGCAGCGGGGCCGCCGGGGCGCAAGCGCCTGCCCCCAGAGCCCGTGGCTGCAGCGGAGCCTGCGAGCACCGTGGTGCTCCCAGCAGCCCCGCAGGGGCGGCTGCCCAGCCTCCTCCGCCTCGAACGGACGTGATTGGTTTGTTCTATGTTGACTTGCGTGTTGATGGGTGAAGACGGTTCTCGTGGAGGACCAGGTGGTTCATATGGTACGATCACGCTGTGAGGCCATGTGGTGGTCCTGAACGGACATTGCGATTTACTGCGTAAGGTTTTAAGTTTTGCAAATGCGTTCGCTTGGGATACAGGATATCACGGTGCACGTGGTGCCCGTGTGTGCAACTCAGCGCGAGCGGCCAACGGAAGCGAAGGTGGGCAACCTGGCAATTGACTGGCCAATGTTGGCAGCGAAAATTCGGTTTGCTGTTGACGCTGTCGCAATGGCGCGCGAGTCTGGGGCCAGCGCCCAGTGGGGCTTGAGCCTGGCGCCACAGCCGCCGAATTTCAGCCCGCGTCATCGGTTTGCAGAGCCGCCTGGTCACATGCGCAGGCCAGAGGGCGCATGCGCCGCTTGCGCCCCAGAAGAACAGCACTCCAATGCCTTTGATAAGCATTGAGGCAACCGCACCATAAGAGTCGCCCTGCCCATCTTCTGCACGGCGAGCATCCCCCGCCGCCCCTTCATGCACGGCCTTCCTCGCAGCCATGGTTGATGGTTAAGCTGCCAAGCTCAGCTGCCAACTTCCAATGAACCAAGGAAAATGCACTCCCACTGCCATGCGAAACCATACAACGTGTACGGCACGCGCACAGAGTTGCCGTCTTTTGCAACTTGTTGCGCACATCTTTGCGCCATCACCCCGCAGCTGTGCCACCGCTGCCCTCGCATATGCCCCGTTGGGCTCTGGCCTTGAAAAGCAATGAGCAGCGACGGCGGCGACGAAGCAGGGGTGGCCGCGCCTGCGCTCGCGCTGCGGCGTGGCGCCGAATCCTTTGCCTGTTTGGACAGTCGACACCTGGCGTCGGCGGCCCAGCCCAGGAGGCATGTGACGGCTGTGGATGACATCGTCATGCAACGCCTGCCGACAGCGACGGGCCTCCATGCGTGCGTGCTGACAGCACATGACGCGCGGACACAGCACCCCTCCAAGGTGAATTCATGCACACGGCTGTACCTTGCATTCCAGTTGGGGATGCGTGACTGCTCTTTTGCGACTGATATGCCACCATAGCGCTGTAGTGAGGCAGATGGATGCAGCCGCAGCTGCAATATGTGCGTTGTAGCAGCCCCACCACGCACCTAATGATGCAGCAACAGCTGCAAGTGCCCATTCGCCACGCCGCGGCCCCACCTGTGCCCAGCTGCGCCCCTGCAGCACAGACCCCTCGGCCCGCCAGCCACACATTGCCCCACGCCGAAAGGACGGGTTGCTGCCTTGGCATCGTGCTGAGCCACCAAGAGCGGCCTGCAGCCTTTACAGCGCCCTGTTTCTGCTGAGCCAAGGCCGCATCCACAGGGCTGCACGCGCCAGAACAGCATGATGCAAGGGCTGTTGCATGCCGGCAGATCTAGGGCGTTGTTGCCCACGCCTGTGGCCCCGGCTGACGCCTGCAGCAGCCCTGAAACACTGGCACTGCCGCCTACCGAGCCGCCAAACTGCCAGCTCATGCCATCCTGAACACCACAACACAAAGACAGGAACAGCAGCACTGACTTGGCTGATTACATTGTGGCAAATGCACTACCAACAGATACTGCCCCGGCCGCTGCTGCGAGTGCCGCCTGCAGCAATGCGACTGTTCAGCCACTCTCCGCAGCCGCCTGGCGCATCTAGCTGCTGCTGCTGCTGCTGCCGCCGCCGCCGCCGCTGCTGCCGCCGCAGCAGCAGCAATGGTGTGTCTCCTCCCACGCGAGGCACCTGCGCAGGACAGGGTACGCCTTGGCTTGCTGCGGGCCCCACTCGTCGCAAACGTGGTAACACAGTGCCCAACATGCTGCCGCCAGGCGCACTGCAGGGCCAGCCAGCAGAGTTCCCGTCCGCGTGCAATCGCAGCGGCACACAAGGGGTTGGCCCAGGAACTCACCCAACTCATGCCGCAATCCCGCCAGGTCACTGCTGGTTGGAGTTGGGCCCCTTCTTCTTGCCCGGGCCGACGACTGTGTGCGGCAGCAAACCAGGCACAAACGGTGGATGTTGCGGCGTCGCAGGTTTTGAGGTGTTCGTGAGTGGAGGCAGATGAGGGGCGCCAGGGGTGCGGGTCGTGCTGCACCTCGATGCTGGCTGTTTAGCAATGATGGCCTCGCAACCGCTAATTAAATGACTTAAAGACGCCCTCTTGTAGCCCTGACCGCAAAGCTGCTCCGGTTTTCTGCTGCAGCTGCTTCAAGGTTGCTGTGCACCTGTGCTGCGCAGACGCGCAGGCGCATCAACCTCAGCAAGTGCGCAGCCGCGGCTGCCGCGTATGCACGTTTGCCCTAGCCGCCTGTCCGCTGCGCACCGACGTTCACGAAGCGGCGGTTGTACTTGAGGCGCTTGCAGGCACGGCCTGTGGGCTTCTTCTTCTTGTCCTGCTTGGGGACCTTCGGCGTCTGGCCCCTCACCTTGCCGGCACGCGCCAGGGAACCGTGGACCTTGCCTGCAAGTTAGCGAGATACCAAAGCAGCGTTCAGCGGCCTGTTGCTGGAACGGCCCTGGGCAGCGAGCGGCAGAGGCAGCCAATGCTGCCTGCACAGACTGCAATCCTTCCACGTTCTCACCCATGGCTGCTGTTTACGGCTGCTGATGAAGAGGGCGTTATAGCTGGCCAAAGGGACCGGGTTGGGGCGGGTAGAGCAACAAGAGCAGGCAGTCACTGCTGGTGAGCAGGTGGAAAGCCAGACGTTGCTTGTTTCCCTCAAGCGCTCTGCAAGGTGGTTAAGAGCAACTTCATTTTGTTGCTACTGTCACCTGCGGTACTTGTTTCTGCAGGTTTTCTCAAGTCAAGATCACCCCTGTGTTGATCTGCAAACCGTGATGTCACCGTGCATGCTAGGCGACTTTCCGGCTCCAGCTCTACCCCTTACCTCACCCCTTGTGTGCAGCATCCACACCTGATGGCCAGCACTTGGCAGCCGCTGCCAGCCTCAACATGTTGCCCAGCCCTTGTGTGCAGCATCCACACCTGATGGCCAGCACTTGGCAGCCGCTGCCAGCCTCAACATGTTGCCCAGCCTGCTGAGCAGTGGCCGGATAGCCGGAGCGCTGAAAGCGGGCTGAAAGCGGTTTACGCCGCGGTTATACCAGGCGCCGGCTGCTTGTGCGCGTAAACTACAGGTCTAGATTGGAGCCCCGCCAGCAAGAAAGCGACGTCCTCACACCCCTGCCAGCCGTCAAGCACGCTCCAGCCGGCTCCAGGCTCATGAGGCTGTGCATGCACATGGCAGGGATCGGAGGGGCCGACATGGGGGCTGATAGTATTGGGGGCCAATGGTATTGGGTGGGCCCACCGGAGCAGGGGCGACGGCACTTAAGTATTTGATAGGCGTGGGGGACAGCTACGCTGGCGCATTGCAGGGCCGAAAGCGGCGCTGCCAGCGACGCCGCGGCGGTGCGCATGGAGGGGCGTGTTGCGCTCGACACATGTCCGCGCGGCAGCGCGTGGAGTGCAGCAGGCTGGACAGCCTCAAGTGAGCTGCGCGGATTGGAAGCCTGAGCACTGCGAGGCCGCCC